CATATGCGCGCGCACACACACACACACACACACACACACACACACACACACACACACACTCTCCTCAGCAGCAGCACCAGTGAACCCTCACATAAAGCTGTTTCCCTGATGATCCATATTGATACCAAGTAGTAAGCTCCTGGGAAGAAGCATACTTGTTGTGGTCATTGTGAGATTGAAGTTGTCATTCTGAGTCCTTCCCAGTTATAAACCCTTGAGGTACTATTGGAACCTAGGCAGAGATGGGGGGTGGGACCCACTCTCCCTGGCCTCCTTGTATTTGGAATTATTATTGCAGCTCTTGCTGGAAGCACCTGCCTTCTAGGGGGACTCAGCCTCAGTCCAAGGCGCCTAGGTGTGGGCTGCCCACACTCTACCTTCCTTTGACCGTTTCTTCGGCAGCCCTGGGCTTTCTGCCCTCCTCCCTAGCCTCTGTGCTGGAAGGAAATCTCCCATGCATATAAATGAAGAAAAATAGATACAGAGACTGGGAGTCACTGTTTCAACAAGGCAGAAACAGCTGTTCAAAGTGCCCGCCTGTGAACAGATTCCCTCATTTGGTGTTTAATCTTGTCCTATTAGGAAAACATTATTTTATCTGTTTTACGGATGATGAAGCCAAGGCTAGGAGATAGGAGCTGGTTAGCAGCACTTTCTGACCTAATGCTGTGTTCTTTGTACCCCAGGGAATAGCTTCCTTTCGAATTAGGTTTGCAGATTCAGATCTCCTATGTGATTGTGCTACTGCAGGCCCAGCACAGGATTGGGGAGAACTTCTCAAAGCTTACCAGAGAGAGCACAAGCCCAGATGTCGTGGTTGCAGCCGCACGAGTCAGCACGGACATGCTCTGTTCCGAGGCCATAACTCACAGGCTGATTTCAATAGTGAAGAGTGTTTTTACAAGACAGGCAATGCATTTCCAAAATGAATTACCATCTTCCTGTTGATTCTGCACAGTAGTTCACAACTGTCACTGACAGCAGGATGCTACAATTAAGGTGAAATTCGAATATGCAAACCCAACAATTTCTTTTGGCATTTCCCATTCATCTTAGAAAATTTTGGCTGAAGCAGATGGGTGTCCCCACCCCAGTGCTCTCTACACGCTCTCTTATAGAGAGGCACCGCACAATTCCACCGACCACCCCACCTCTCTTCTTTGAGATATGGTCTTTTCATGTATCCAAGGCTTGCGTTGGACTTTTTGTCCCCCGCCTCAGTTTCCTGGGTGCTGGGATTATAGGAGTGTGCTACTCTATATAGTCCAGAATCTCTCCTTTAATCTCATTGCGATTCATTTTATTTTGGCTCCTTTGTTTCTGGAAATAATATTCATGTCTGCTAATACGTAGTAAACTGGGGTCCAGACTTGTTACTGGAAGATCTAGCCTCAGCCTGACATGGCACTTTGTAGTTGTAAAACTAGATCCAAACAATCTCAGGTTCATTGATTGAAAGACTATGCATCCATGATTCAGACTCATTCTGTGAGGGATTGGAGCTGATCTGGTTACCCACTCTAAACCTCCGTGTCTTCATCTCCAAAATTATAGTAGTGTTCCTGGCATTGCAAGACTTCCTGTGAGGATTGGAGTTATGGGAGGTGGCAGGCACAGGGCCTGGTACCCCATGGTTCTTAGTTATTCTGACTTCCAGAGATCCCACAAGATCATTTTGAGGGGGTTAGCAAGATGGCTCAGTGAGTAAAGGAGCTTGTTGTAAAAGGCCTGAACTGAATCTCTAGGACCTATGGTGGAAGGAGAGAACTAACTTCTGAAAGCTGTTCTCTGATCCCCACATGTGTGCTGTGGCATGTGCCCATGTACACACACACACACACACACACACACACACACACACACACACACAATGAAATAGTAAAAAGATAATTTTGAAGATAAAATGATAAAATGCAAGTATTGTGAAAATGATCTATTTTAATAGATCATTTGATAGCCATGCATCAATAGTTTCTGTTGAAGATCCAGTACTGATGGCATGAGAGATTATAAGGAAAAATCAGGTACAGAACTTACCACATCTTAGGCTCACTTTCCAGAGAGCCTTCACACTCTAGTAAGCAATAGGAGAAAAAGTAAAAGTCCTTTGGTGTGGTTCTGTTTCTTCCATGGGATCACTGGTGCATTGGTCCATGAGTATGGAGGAAGCAGAAGTTGGGAAACAGGGTTCAGACGGAGAAAATGGAGAAAGCCCTCCAGGAGATGACTTTGGTGACTCAGCTCAGCTTTATTCCAGTGTATAGGAAATATATAGGATTGGGGAGCCTGGGGACAAACCCTAATTTGCATTAAGTGACATGCTCCTATCATAAGGCTTTGTATGGTATGTGTCAGCAGGGTCCTATAGCAGAGCTCCTAGTACAAGTCTTAGTTATCATATGTGCAGCAGGGGAAAGACTCCTAGCAGGAAACTGTGCCAAGGGCTACCCTAGAGATAAATCAGGCATCCAGGCTTAGAGACAGCTTTCAGATAAGGTCAGTCCTCTGGGCCCAGAGACATTCTCTAGATAAGGGCAGGCAGAGAGCGGGAAGTCTCGCTGGGGCAGAAGTGGGGAGTCCTCATGTTGTCGAGCTTTGGAGGAAGCTGCTAGGCCACGATGGACTGCAACCCCTGACCAGCAAGAACTTCCAACACTCTTGCCATGTTTATGAGGCTTAGACAACAAGGCAACAACTTCTAACTGAAGCCATCTGACAGAGAGCCATGATAAACCTGACTTTGAGAAGACACTTGACAGAAAGATGGGGTGATGGCTAAAGATGGTTCTGGCGGAAGAGACAAGATGAACTAAGTCAGCAAATGGGAGGAAGGCAGGAGGCACCTAGATCGTACCAGAAGGACAATAAGATGATGCTTCAGGTGGGCTGAAGAAGCAAAGTTGGGCGCAATCCTGTTTGGGGAGGAGTTGAGACTTTCGATTCATAGACAGTGGGGAGCCACAGAAGACACTGGAGCAGGAAAGTGATGGCAGATTTCATTTTCTTGAAGATGAGCTCAGCCCAGGTGGAGGCAGGAGACATGAGGCCCAGCAGGAGTCAGTTGAGAGTTCCCGGGACGGGGAGGGGGCCTGGAATGGTTTATGGTAGTGAGGGTAAAGCAAGGAGGAGGGAACTTTACAGAGGAAAGCAATGTAATTTAAATGACAATATTGGAGGGTGTGGGGGAGGGGTGACTAAGGCCCTGCGGCAGGAATCCTAAACGTCACTGAGGTTTGGGGTAAGGAGGACAGTCACTAGGTAAACTTCAAGAGGGAGGTGGTCTAAAAAGAACAAGCCCTTATCATACACTAAAAAGAAGAGGGACCCAGGAGTCCAGGGAAGAAGAAGGCAGGCCAGACTCTTGTACATAGGGTCTCCCACATATTGACACTTGAGGTCAGATATCTTTCTCTGTAGTGGGGACCATTGTGCATTGTGGGATGTTTAGCTACATCCCTTGCCTCTATCCACTGGATGCCAGTAGCACTCCCTCCCTCCCAGGGGAGCAATCACAAGCATCCTGAGTACTGCCACATGGTCTTTGGAGGGCCATGATACCCCTACTTGACAAGACAGTGCTATGGGAGGTCTGTTTCCCATAAGGAAATTTATGGAAGTGATTGGAGACCCTGAGTTCCAGTCCCAGGGAAATCTGCATGTCTGGGACAAGAACTTTGTCATACATTGGATGTTGGGGCTTAGGAGAAAGGTGGGGTCCAGATACACTACTCTGAGCTGCCCAAGAGTGCCCAGACATAACACTCCCACCTCCACCTTTGCAGACACAGCACAGAAAATGCCAACTTGCTTTCTTGTGGACTAAAGAAAAAAAGAAAGTTTTCAAATGATGTATACACACAGGAAAACTGAGGCTAAGAAGACCTAGGGAATCAAAACTGAAGAGAAGTGGGAAGCGGACAGACACAGTCTCAGTGTCCTTCTAGCATTCAGAACTGGGGCTCACATCTGCCTCTGAGGAAAGGAAAGGAGCCACTACTGACTGCCTTTCTCAAGTTTCCACGTATGAGTCAGTAATGCGTTTCTCAGGCATTCAAGCTACTCATTGTGTTGCCCCATTGAGGTCAGTAATGATAAAACTGGTTAATCCTACTAAGACAAACTTATACCTCTCCAAGCACAGCAAGACAACTGTACATTCTTGAACCAGTTAGTTAACTGACCTGAGCTCCCACTTCTTCAGTGGCAGTATGGACTTAGTCCTTTTCGTGGGGCAAACTACTTGATCAAAGATTAAATACGAGACATATGAAGTGCCTGTCATATAGTAGTATTTAATGGCTTTTGACTATTTGCTCATTTATCTTCTGTCCATCTCCATTTACTTGATTTAATTTATGTCTAGAAGAGTGGGAGAGTATATCTAGGTACAGCATCTTCAGTGCAGATGTGTTGGCTATGATTGGCATTATAATTCCAGAGAGAGTTTCTAAAGATGTGTATTTAAGACATCTGGTCCCCTTGAGACATAAATAGGCTGGATCTTAATGATACTCAGTGTTTGTATCAAAAGTAGAAAGTCCAGTGAATTGCATGCATTCTCAGGCTCCAGATGTTTGGTAATGGATAGCAGAACCTCTGTGAAATATCCCTGCACTCTCCTGGATGGTTGCATCTGAGCCGATGTGCCAGATGAGCCTTGAGCCTTGCTGCTGTCTTGAACAACAGACTCATCTGATCTCAGAAGCTCCAAGAGCCACTTGAAAACACTGGGGTTCTTATAACTGTATCTTGGTTTTGCATTTTGTCTCTCTCTGGAAAGAAAACTCTTTACTGAACCAATTTTAGTTAAATATTACCTTCCCTTAGCCATGTGGGTATTTTCCAAAAAGGGCTAAAGGGCTCGGGGCCATTTTAAAGGTATTTAGCTAATCAATACCTTGGTTACTAGTTAATCACATTGAATGGGAACTGATGAACTTCTGGCTATTTTAAACATCTGAAAGATGTTTGGGGTTCCAGCCTGAAGATACCTACAACTTCTAAAGTAGGCCATTTTCTTCTTTTACGTAGATGCCAGATGGTGACTTCTGGATGAGATGTTTGCAGTTGCTTTCTTTGGCTTGTCTTTGATTGCATGGCACCCCAGCATAACTGCACAAGAGAAGGTGAACCAGTAAGTAGGCTTCAGGTCTCTGCAAAAGTGGGATCCTCTGCTGGGGGACAGGGATACTGCGATGTTGGCAGTAGGCTGTGTTGGTATGGAATAGAACCTCTCTTCATACTGTTACTAATCCAGTAAAGGAGTTAGAACAGGAAAAAAACCAGTTAGCTATAATCTGATCAGTCCAGCTATAAATGGCCATTCTTAATACGCAGCAGTGGGGTAATCCAGATTAAATCATTCAATCTCTCTGATTCTCAGTCTTCCTATCTGTAGACTGAGACTTATAATACCTCTTCTCTAACAGCTAATGCGGATGTAATAAAATCCTGGATTTAAAGTTTCCTCTGCATACAGTAGACATTTAATAAATAGTATTTGTCTCAAGCAGTGTGAAGCAGTTAACTCTACTTCATTATCTATATAAGAAAGTGGTGAAAATCCATCCTACCTTACACTAGTTGGGAGGATATATTTAGATCATATATCTAACTATTTTTGTGGAGGAAAACAAGAAACTATTGAGAGACTCAGCCACGTCATTCTAACCCTTTGCTCTGGGGAGACAGCAGAGGTAATATCTTCCCATGTCGGTTGTATTTCGCTGATTCTATTTACCTGAGATTTCCAACCTGGCTTCATTTGTTTATACTTCATTGAATATTTTGTGGTTCCTAAGCAGCACCTTAATCTCACTTTTGGGACAGTTTTTAAGCATGCGCTGTCTCTCAAACATGGGAGGTTTTAAATAGAGTTATTGTATTCAAGTTCTTATTAGTTGACTCAATTTTGAATCATTGTTGTTTAAATGCTAGAGTAAGAGAGATTCCCTTTAAGTAACAGTTCAGAAGGAGAAACGTGTTTTACGGGCAGATAATCTGTAACTTGTATTTAAAACAAATACACTCTTGAAACATCATAAAATTCATCGCTAATAATTAGAAGACATAGGCAAGAGGTCGGTGGTGAAGAAAATCTCAGCTGAGACTCTCTCAATTATAAAAGCTTATCATGGTAATCCTTTCTGAAAATGAACAGAGTCCTGATGTTTGATGAACTTATCAAACAAGACAGATCAGCGAAGAGGCAAACTTCAAGTCGAGGCAGAAGAGATCCAATTCAACGCTTTACAGAGTGCTGAGGGAGAGATCACGGCGCTCTTGTGTTCACTGCCTATGCTTCTGACGTTGGTTTTGAAAATAGAAAGTTACATGACAAAATCATTCCCCTGGGTTCCAATCCCGGTGCCAGCATTTACTGTTAATAGTTATTTGATCTTAAGCAAATTACATAACCGTTCAGGGCTTCATTTGACTCACTTGTAAGATGGGAGGAAAATAAGAGCGGGAATTAAATGGCTGAAAGTACCTAGAACAATGGAACACTGCCTCCCACTTAGCGAGCATTCACTAGGAGCTGCTCCCTGTGATAGCAAGCGGAGGATCGTTATTGTTGGTTTTTCCGTTTGTTTGGATGGTTGACAGCAATCAGAAAGAAGAAATTTATAATGTGCCAATTGGCATGGGTCTTCCAGATTTATCCAGATCAATTAGAGACTTCAAGTTTTTGTTGGATTTTTAGCAAGAGTGCTTGTTTTTCCCCCCAAAGTAAAATTCCATGAGAGCCCTAACGTGGAAGATGTGTGTGTGTGTGTGTGTGTGTGTGTGTGTGTGTGTGTGTGTGTGTGGTGTATGTGTGTGTGTTTAATAGTGCACGTTTACTTTGTAAGCTCATGCTTAACATTTACTTATTATACTATCTTGAAAAAAATAGGGGCTGTATAAGTATAAAATCTTAAAACCATGGAAGGAAGTTACAATTAGCAGCAAAATCAGTGATTCTCTAGTAACATGTTTTATTCGAGTAAGATTTTTTTGGTATGTGTTAGTTATGAAACTTTTTTAAAATTTTAAGTTCTTTAAATTTATTGAGATTTCTTTAATGGCTAGGAATGTAGCATTAGTGGATATTCCATGTTGTTCAGTATACATACTTGCAAATAAATCAAGTCAAGTTGGGCAACCTGTGGCTTGAATTTTCATCTTTTTGTTCTATCACTTACTAAGAGAGGGGGACAGTGCCCAACTATTCTTGTGTGTTTCCCTAATCTCTGTTTCAGTTCTATCAGTATATACTGTGCATCTTTTGAAGGTGTTATTAAACATACACACACACACACACACACACACACACACACACACACACACACCAGAAAGAGAGAGAGATACTGACTGAATTAGATGGAGTAGTTACCTTTTAGCATCACTATGACAAAATGGCTGAGGGGGCAATGATAACATCCAGCCCATAGGATGGTTCCACACACATTCAGGGCAGGCCTTCTCTCTTCAGTTATGTTTTCCTGGAAAAATCTTCATAGATGCACCCAGAGGGTGAGCTTCAGCAATCTCCTCAGTGATCCTGAACCCAGGAAGACAGACAAGGAAGATGAGCCATCACACAGGACTGTCTTCTTGATGAGCAGTCCTTTCATCATTGAGAAATGCTTTCATTATCTTAGATGATTTTTTTTTCATTTGCAGTGCATTTTGTTTAATGGTAATATAGTCATTTTTGTTTGCTTGTTGCTTGCATTTTCATGGCTAATGGTCATCTAATGTTTTGCTTTACTATATATGACCATAGTTTTAAAATGTATTATCATGTAGACATAGTCTAAGTATGATCTCTGTCTTTTTAAAAGACTTAGTTGATTATCCATTATTAGTATCATCATCATCATCATCTTTTTATTTTGGTGGTGCTGAGTATTGAACTCAGGGCATTGTATATACAAGACAGGCATTCTTCAACTGAGCTACCACTCCAGACTCAGTCTCTGCCTTTTAGTCAAAGTAATTAGACCATTTATATTGAAAGTAATTATTGGTGGAGGTTGTCTTTGAATTCATCATCTTACTATTTCCTATTTGTCCTATATCTTGTTTCCATATTTCTCTCTTTCTTAGATCATCTTTTAAATTTAGTATCTTAATATATTAAATGGATAGAGTATTTTACTTCATTTTTGTTGTACTTCGATAAGATTTCTAATGTATAATATTAACTTACCACATCCTATGTTCAAATGATGTTATATCACTTCTAATACTATTATTTCATCTGTATAACTTTCTTTGACATTTATTATAGTACATTTTTATCAATGAGTTCTTTTGTTCTTGTTCTGAAAATGGTAGCATTACACAGGACTTAACATCTGAATTAATCGACTCACATTACAGAGAAAAACTGAGTGCCAGAGAGAGAGAGGGAGAGATGTTGGTAACAAGATTTCTCATCTGGCATTTCATGAACATTGAATTTAATCATCACTGCATCCTTCTTAAGTTGCTTTTTTATAATTTTTCGAACTGAAGACTGGGGAAGAACAGGGCAATTTGGTGCATTCCCCTGAGATGTGTGGTGGCACAGGCCATCTTCCAGCCTCTGGACCAACATTTTCACCAGATCCATTGCCAGTCTCTCACACCAAGAAAACAAAACAAATTACCTCTTCAAAAAACAAGCTCCTGCTTTGATAAGTAATGGGCTTAATTTGGAGTTAAGATAGCTCAAAGATTTCACCCTATCATTTCTACTGGTAAAATCCAGAATTCATTAGGGAGACTGAAGAAATGTAAATGAAGACCTTAGTCCTAGAGGAAACATAAACACCACCCAAGCATCCAGTGGAATCGTCACTTCTCCAATAACCCCCATACGTAGTGGATGCCAAAGAAGTGTCAATCATGTTTCTTCTTTTTATTTTCTTGCCTTTACGGGCATCAAAGTGTGTTTGCCCAAGTGCCTGGGCCAGAGCCATGTGAATGTTCTCAGCAGTCATCAAGATGGCTGGAATTAATATGCACACAGGCAACACGGTCTTCTAATTAACATCCACAATTGGGTGGCTGTGACTCGAAAGTAAGTCATAGTAATATAGAGATTGATATTCAGAGTAACTAACTATAAGCTATGCATCAAATGACACTGGGTATGAATTATGGAGGAAAGCCTGTTTACACTCTTGGAACTGTAAGTGTGTGTGGAATGCTATGTGGCTTGCAGATAAATTTTGGTATCACTCATTTGTTGTTTATTTAATAAGTAAATGTTCTAGGTATAGTAGTTACTAGGTAGTAAAATAAGCAAATTATATCCTGATCCTCCTGTAACTTACAGGCTGTGTGGTTTGAATGAGACTTGTCCCCATAGACTCATGCATTTGAATACTTGGTCCCCCTTTGGTAGAACTGTTTGGGAAGTGTTAGGAGGTGTGGCCTTGTTGGAGGAAGTGTGTTACTGGGGGCAGGCTTTGAGATTTGGAAAGCCCACACCATTCTCATTTAGCTTTCTTTATCTGTGCTTCATGCCTGTGGATCAGGATGTAAGCACTAAGCTACTGCTCCAACACTGTACCTGCCTGCCTCCTGCCATGCTCCATGCCTTTATGGTCATGGCTCACTCACTGAAACTCTAAGCCAAATGAACACTTTCTCCTATAAGTTGTCTTGATCATGGTGTCCTAGAACAGCCATAGAAAAGTAACTAAGACACAGGCTTAGACAGTAAACATACAAACACAAATTTTCATTTAAAATTGTTAAGAATACTATGAAGGGCTCAAACAGAACATGTTGAGAGAGAGAGAGAGAGAGAGAGAGAGAGAGAGAGAGAGAGAGAGAGAGAGAGAGAGAGAGAGAGAGAGAAAAATTGGTTGAGTGACAATCTCTGTAGAGGAAGCATCTATGCTGAGACACGAAGGTTGGGAGAAGCTGTGTCAAGAGGACAATATGAGGAGATGAGCAGGTGCTATGCTCCTGTTGTGGGAAGTAGTTTGTGATGCATGGCGACTGAAAGAGGTTGGCAGGAATGAAAAAAAAAGTGTGCATGAATGCATGTCAAAATGATGAGATGGGGCTGTATCTCAGGGAGTCATGGACACCATTGTAAGGAGGGTTTGGATTTTAGTTTATGTCTAGTAAAAAAAAAGAAAAGAAAACTCAAGAGGGACTTATAAAAGAGAAACATTGCATGATTTCCCATTTTAAAAAATCATTGTGTTCATTATACAGAAATAAGAAAAAAAAGAAAAAGAAAAGAAAGACAGAGAAAACCTTTCCCAGAAGGGGCCATCAAAGGATGTGGTGATGTCATGGGGTCTTAAATTAGCATGGTACTGAGGCGGGAGGAAGAGAAGAAACCTGAGATATGTTTTAATGGCAAATTGACAGACATTTCCAAGGGTGAGAGAAAGAAGGAAAATAAGGACCACTGCCAGGAATTCAGTGTGAGAACTTGTATGTGTTGGTGGTCTCACTAACGATGGGGTTCAATTGAAAAAGGAGTTGGTTGAAAGTCGAAATTAAGAGGTTCAACTTAGAACCATTTTGTTTTCTGTGCTGCGGTGGGGAGTGGGGATGTGAAGCTGGGGAGCCTGGAGGGGAGCAGCAGGGCAGCAGTGCAGTCCAGGGTGGCGAGCTAAACTTAGAAAGCATTGGCATGGATGGTATATGATGCTGGGGGAGCGAATCTCAGTTTCTTGAGAAGAAGAAAAGCAGGAAGGGAAAGGAAAGACAAAGAGGTGTCCTGAAGAATTCCAGTTCTTCAAGAAGCCCAAGGTACTGGCCACTGAGTAAGAGAGCAAGTAGAGGCGGGCGGTGGTGGCGCATGCCTTTAATCCCAGCACTCGGGAGGCAGAGCCAGGCGGATCTCTGTGAGTTCGAGGCCAGCCTGGACTACCAAGTGAGTTCCAGGACAGGCGCAAAGCTACACAGAGAAACCCTGTCTCGAAAAACCAAAAAAAAAAAAAAAAAAAAAAAAAAAAAAAAGAGAGCAAGTAGAGGTTGTATGGAGGAGGTCAGTGGGAGGGAGCTTCCAGAGGGAGTCATGGCCAACACAGAGTGAGTCAGATGAAGTTGGAAAACGCTTCAGTGGGCTTAGCATTGAGTAGGGAGCTGAAGATGGAACACTTTCAAAGCCAAGTTTAAAATACCTTCATCTCATGATATAATTCCTATGTAATTGAATGGATTAGTTCAAGATTATATCATTAGTGACAATCAGCTTTGACTATAAGTGTATTAGGATACCCCTCTCCCCCCGTAATAACCAGATAGGCTTTCGGACCTACTGGCTTAGGATCAGTACATAGCTAATTAATGACTTTGCTTTCTAAGTTGCTGAGGTGGCCACATTCTGGGGTCAAGCATTTGACTCTCAGGTTGCTTATTCAACTCGATTTTAAGTCCTTTGTCTAACATGCCAACCCGAGTTAAGAAGTCAGTAAGGGCCGGGGAGATGTTTCAGTCAGTAAAGGGCCTGCCACAGGGCAGGATGATATGAGTTCAGGTTCCCAACACTCAGGTAGAAGACCAGCACAGCAGAATGTGGCAGTAATCCCAGTGCTGGGAAGGTAGAAACAAGCGGATCCCTGAGGCTTGCTAGACGGCCAGTCCAGCCAATCAGTGAGCTTTGGGTTCAGGGAGAGACCTTGAATTAACAAATGAGGTGTAGAACAATTCAGCAAGACATCTAATATTGACCTCTGGCCTACATGCTCATTCACATAAATCAAACAGACAGACAGACAGACACACACACACACACACACACACACACACACACACACACACACACACACACACACACACGAAGTATCTCAGTGGTCCATGGCCCTGTACAGGGTATGTTTCTGATGAAGATGGCGAGGTTTGTACGTGGCTAAGTTGAAAGTATTAGGAAAAACTGGTATGTGTTCTATGTAGCTAGAGTTTTCCTGCCTGGCCCACAGTCAGGATAAATCTCTGCCACCCGCCAGTCCCACAAGAGCTCAGACCCGACCAAGTAAACACAGAGACTTATATTGGTTACAAACTGTATGGCCGTGGCAGGCTTCTTGCTAACTGTTCTTACAGCTTAAATTAATCCATTTCTATTAATCTATACCTTGCCACGTGGCTTGTGGCTTACCGGTACTTTACATCTTCCTTGTCCTGATGGCGGCTGGCAGTGTCTCTCCCACCCAGCTTCCTGTTCTCTCAATTCTCCTCCTTGTCCCGCCTATACTTCCTGCCTGGCCACTGACCAATCAGTGATTTACTCATTGACCAATCAGCAACACATTTGACATACAGACCATCCCACAGCACTAAAACAGAGCTAAAAACAGCTTCCTAATTGTCTCTCTTAAATGAGCGGCAGCTGCCGGTTTGAGCTACTGGTGGGTTTCTAGCGTGCGCGCTCTACCTGCCGCCATATGGCGGGAATGAGGCCTCTGCAAGTGGCACATTAAACTGTGTGGTGGATTTAGCCTTTGCTAGTACAAAACAAAAAAAAGAGGTTTCTGGGCTACATGCTGCTTGGCTAAAAACATAGACCCCCAATAGCTCCCAGAGCTGGCGGGAAACCACCGCCAT